CAGTGTGAACATACAAACAAAAAAAATTAATGACACTAATTTTATATCATTGTAACTTTGTTTTCCATACACTTTAAGAACTTCTTCATATACCACAGCAAAAACTATAATCTGAGAAAGTTCAAACATGATTAAAGTTAAGTTTAAGAAAGAAAAATAAAAGAAAGAAATACACAATTTACAAGCATAGATAATATAAACAGTAGTATTCAGGTACAGAAATGTCAGAAATGTTGCGAAAGACGAATCAACTCGGTGTTCGCGCGCCATCTGAAACGCGTGATGCGGCATGTGCGCGTGCTTCAGGTGTGAGTCAGACAGCAAGACGAGATGGCAAAGAGTTGTTTTCTGCAGCTTATTGCACTTAACTCTTTTTAATGTCAAGCAATTCTCTGCTATATAAGTCAAACTAAAACTTTGACCTTTTGCAACGTTTTGATTTAAGTAGCCTATTATTAAAATGATTCAGATATCACACGCCCTTGCGATATGCATATCGCGATATTTACATTTGCGACATTTCGATATCTTCGATATATCGTGCAGCCCTAACTTTGCGATATTTCGATATATCGTGCAGCCCTACCTCACAGTAATGCAAATACAGTAATTATGTGTTATATTCGCTGTTGTAAATAGCAGGGATCAGTGTTAATTTCGATGATAAATAATTTGTCATAATTTTCGTCAATTACATTTTTTTCACCTACGACAACGAGACGATAAACTAAAACTCCTTTTGAATGATAAAAACTATGACGTAAATCTATTGACATTTGTGTCAACGAATAAAAACGAGACGAAAATGTTAGGGAGGGACGATTTGGGAAGAGATTCATTCAGAACGAATCTGCTGCGTGGTTCGGAGGTTAGATGAGTACATATGAACCGGCAGGACATAAGCTAACAAAGGGCCTCTAGACGTACACTCGATTCGCGTTCGAGAGGTTCCTCGAGCTGAAGGGATCCCCCGAATTTGTTGCCGTTCAAAGTTTCAATGGTTTTCCATAGACTTAAGCTTTAAAGCGTTTCATCCAGGTCGCCCGTA